AGTAAAAAGATTGTTTTAAATAGTTCTTTTTCTTCTTTTTATCAATAACAAATATATACACACGGTAGTGTAGCTGCGCTTGGCTTAGCGCCGAAACGCTACCGTGTCTCCAGATATACAACACCCAAGATCAAAGGCTTTAGATACGTATTCAAGTATATTATGATAAATAATAATCGAAATAGATATATATATATATATACTATTAAATATTAAAGGAGCAAAACTAATCAAGAATAAATAATAATCGATATAGATATATATATATATATACTATTAAATATTAAAGGAGCAAAACTAATCAAGCAAATGCTTGAGTTGAACATTTTGTTATTTTTATCTTCCACGTATGCCAAAATGTAAATCAATCTATTTCTGTATGGTCAAATTGCTTAGTTTTATAGCAAACAGCGTCTATATTATTGTACACACTTATATTTAATAAACTAAATTTAATACAGTTTACATAAGTTAAATTGTTTAACTACTGTGTCGTAGCTAAATTAATTACGTAGGAGCAGGTATTTAAATGACTAAATACAAAAAAAACAAATTGGATCTAATTTAACATTCTAAATTTAACAGTGGAAAAGAGAAAGATAAGAGTATGACTAAACATAAATTGTACATCGATCTTTTAAATAACAGGTAAAATTTGCAGAATGTTATTTTTATTTTCTCAAAGTAAAGTATAAAACGTAAGATGTAAATATTATAAGATACGAAGAGTAATTAATGCAATACAAACAAAAATATTCTGTATTTTTAGAAGAAAATTTTATCTTATAAAAAAATAAAGATTATCTTTCTCAAAAAATACAATTTCGCTTGCAAAAAAAAAATTTTTTTCTTTAAAGAAAGCTTTTTTTCCAAAAAAGTGAAATTCGGAAAGTCTTTTTCGAATTGTTTTTTTACAAAAATTAAAATTTTCTGCAAGAAACAAAGATATTTTATTCTTTCTTTTTTTTGTCAAATTACTGAGAATCTTGACGAACCAGAAGAATAGAACACTGAAGACATTTGCGCTCTCTTTGGGATTTGGTTTCATGTCGCTCGTGTTCTTATCCATGTTGTTGCACTGTTTCACAAAATCTGACGACACTTGAAGCTAACAGGAAAAAATGAAAATGATCAGCATTCTTATTTCCTTCTTTTTCTCTTTTCCCTCTCTCTTTTATTATTTGTTCTCCTTCTCTTGCCTGCCGGTTCTCGAGACACACTTTTCGATAGTTAATCCTTTACTGGAACCATCAGTAACTGTGTTACTGCTTTTCATATCGGCTTTAGGTATTACTGATAATGATGTACGAGAAACATTAGCGATAACTGTCTCATACGTTGTACAATCACATGCATTTCTTGTTTCTTTTGTTTCTTTTCTCACTTACTGCACTTCATGCATCTCAATTAATCCACGTGACGCATTTCTTCTTTCTCTTTCTCTTCTTTTCTTTTTAGTGAAATTTTGTTAGTTACTAAATTTAGCCACTTAATAGGTATTTAAATAGTAACTGAAATAACATGAATAACTATTTTAAGTAACATTATCATTTTTTTAAATATATAAAAAGTCTAACTGGACATTGCACGCAAGAGTTAAATATAAACCAACCATAATTAATAACTCACCTTATAATTAAAGTTTAGTTTAAAAAACTTTTTTAGCATATAAATGTCTTGTAATTCTATTTTATAAGATAATTTTATTAAATAATCTTCTTTACGAAATCTTAATGCTTCTACATTTTATTATTAACTAAGCATATATATAAATACTTTTATTGTCAGTTGGCCTTTCACAAACTCAAAACAATTTATATTGCACACTTTTATATTGCTTGTTTAATTCAACTATGTTACAGTCATCTTATTATAAATGTAAGTTTTTATTACTGTATTAAAATGTATTAAAATGATATAATAATCATTTAATATTTCAGTTTCCTTTCAACTCACGATTAAGTATTCTGTCACATACTAAAGATGTACGTTGATAACTTTTACCTCTCTTTTCATGACGTCATATTGATGTTTGCGCTGTATCCAATATATGCGCAATAATTTGTATTAATATGTCAATTTACACTGAAGATAACTTCAATAAAAGACTAAACGTCTGTAGTTAATCTTCATTAATACTTATTATTCTGTATAATTTCCATTCGACATTGGCTTTCATTTAATGATAATTTTATTATGGAGCATTTGTATTTAATACGATGAGTTATTTTTATCTGAAGACTTTATATCTTTACACTTTATTTTTTAATTTTATTAAATTTGATACTAAACCTTAATTTTATTTGTTATTTCGTCACGTAAAATTAATAATATTATTACTTTATAATTAATAAAAAAAATAACATAAAGGGCTATAAGGAGTCAGTGCGAAAGACAGTATGCGCAAAAATTTTCTAATAATTAAAATTCTACAACATTCTGATTTTATTGAATATTTAAATTAAACGAATGAACATATATATTAGAACGTACGTTTCAGCTCAAAATTGAGCCATCCTCAGCGCATAAAGTACAAACTAAAGTAAAACCGCATTAGAATGTATATAAAAAATATTAATAGATAATTGTGTTACCGCCGCATTATTTAATCTTCTAAGACCTTTCTGCTGCAATGACGCAATAACTGGAATGTTAAAACATATGTACATATGGTCGAGAAACTATTTGGATGCAAAAGCAAGGACATTGTTTTAACATTCCAGTCATTGCAGCAGGAAGACCTTAAGCCCAGTTCCACAACTCACGGTTAACTCTTAACCGAGGTTCAACTAATTTCTCATCTCTTTCCAATTCTAGAATTGAAAAGAGACAATGAATAAGTTGAACCTCGGTTAAGAGTTAACCGTGAATTGTGAAACTGGACCTTAGAAGATTAAGTAATACAGCGGTAACACAATTGGTCTGTATTTTTTACATGCGTTCTAATGCGGTTTTACTTTAGTTTATACTTTATGCACTGAGGATGGCTCAAATCTTGCTGAAACCTAAGTTCTTACATGTTTATTCGTTTGATTTAAATGATCAATAAAATCAAAATATTGTAGAATTTTAATTATTAGAAAATTTTTGCTCACTGTCTTCCGCTCTGACTCCTTATAGCCCTTTATGTCAATTTTTGTTGTTTGAATATCGAGAAGTCCATTGTTAACTATTTATAATTAATTGTTTTAAAATATTTAAAATTAGTTTTTAAAATTATAAAATTAGTAATACACTGCAAGAGCAATGCTTTTGACGTAATATTCGCTATCGCAAAATTGAATGTGAACATTACTGAGAATAGCATATTCACTCACTTGTGATGCATTATAAATTTTGTAATTTCTTAAAAAAACTAATAAATTTTCTGTAATTTAATTTTTAAGAAAATAATTTTATTAGATTTAACAGCAAATTTTAATAACATTTATTATTTTATAACATAAAAAATCAATAACATTATTATTTTATAATTAACTTAATAATATATATTATTTTATAATTAAATCTTAAGTTTAAAATGCAAAATTAATTAAAAAATAATAATATTATTAATTTTATGTTATAAAATAAATAAATGTAATTAAAATTTCCTGTTAAATCTAATAAAATTATCTTCTTAAATACAGAAAATTTATCGCAAAAATGTGACAATATAATAGAATTAGTACATCGAAAAAAGATAAAGCAGCAGTGTTACTTAGGAATTTAAAGATTTGATAAAAAAGAACTCATGTTTTATAATTTATTCCTTTCTATATATTTCGTTGTACTTTGGTTAATTGTTTACATACGACATTTCATACGGTGCGATCACGTATGCGCATACTTTTTCATCTTAAAGTTACTATACATAATTTTTACAATTCACTGTACAACTGTGTCGTAAATGTTTTATAGTACAGAGCAAGAATGTGTATAATTGACAAAAATAATTGACGCAAAAAGGTGGCGAAAGTTCTAAGCATGAAGTAGCTTTGTAAAGATGATTCCAAAACTAATTCTATCGAATATGTAAAAGTTATCGTTTACAAAAATATATATTCGTAAATATTCACGTGAAGCTTACCTCGAATCGAATATAATTCTATAAGTTCATATAATATATCGAGGTATATATGTATGCTATTCTAACATTATTCGAGATAATTAATATATAATATACTTTAATGTTATATTATATAATGATAAAAATACCAATACTAATAAAATTAATTATTAGCAAGAAACGTGTGCTATATTACTTACATAATATATTCTATATCTTATGTGACAGTATATACTATACGTACACTATATATCACGTACTATATTTACTTCAAAATACCTACTATGAGATATATATTTCTTATTTGCTACAACAGGAACACAACTAAAAAAATGTGAGGGTTTCAATGTTTTAAATCATTGAAATTTTGAAATGCAATTTTGATAATTTTATTGTAGAGTAAAAGTATTTTTTTTTTTTTAATAAATTCGTTTTTTTATATTTCCGTTATTTTTCTGTAAGCAACTTCAAAATGACATTTTTTAAGTTGTATTGATGTAGCAAATGGTGAGCGATATATATTCTATATACTTTCATCTTAACAAATAATATAGTTGCATCGATAAATGCAGTAGACAAAAGTATTGAATTCGTTTCTGCATTTATGTTGAACCTGCATTATAACAAAAATCAAGTATAATAAGTAAAGCTCAAATAATCGTTTAAGTATTTGAGCTGAATTGGAGTATTTGTTCGAACATTGTCCATCATATAATACAAATCTTAGAGCCATTATGAGATCCTCATTAAAAAAAGTTGGGGATAACAATTGTAAACGATGTAATTCTGAAAACAGATCATTACGCATTTAAAAGTATACATATAAAATACCTAAGATAAACTGAAAAAGTTTATACATATAATATTTATAATTATATATAATTAATTAATATATGTATATATAATATATAATTTATACATATAAATAAAAGAATATAAATTGACGTTATATATGTACTACACCTCTCTCAGACTCATATATAATTTCAATTTATTTTTTATAAAATTTACTTAATAAAGATTGTATTGCAATTTTAATTTCTCCCAGATCATTTATGACTCTTATAAGATCTTTTGCGGCTCGGAGCACGTATGATGGATATTGGTAGAGATCACAGCAAGTTACTGTGTGTGCGTGAATATTATCTTACATACAATTTCATGTTTATGCTAAATCACGCTTCATCTCACTGGCTCAGTTCATTCTTGATTGATGAAGTACGTGTTCGCTTTATCACAAGAATTAAGTATATTCGTAATTTCTGTAGTAGTACGGTAGAAAAATATAACAATGTTACGAGACTTAACTCGTGGCAGAAACTTGCACTAGATATTACGGCAAGGGAATGCTTTCCCTGTAATCTTATTAAAAACGATACAAAAATATAATTTTGTAGACGCATGCCACGCTCTGCATCACAACGTTATGATACTTAACGAAAGTATCATGACGTCGCGAAGAAACATATACAATGTGTTCTTTGGTCTTGTAGAAATGTACAGACATTTGTTTACATGCGCCATTCTGTATGCTCTATATATTGTCTACGTTATAAGTATACTGGGCACGTTAAGTAATCAGCTTTCATCTTGAAAAATTTAGCTAACGAAAAAATATATCAGAATTCATTAACACTTCGTCACGTTTCTCCATACTTGTCTACATAAGCCTGCTTCGCCACCTTGACCAGTTGATCGTACATACCTGGGCCAGTCTCCTTTACTAACGAAGTAAACTGATTATAACTGTTTTTCAGTAATATGTGAGGATGATCGTATTCCTGCAAAACAATAGGCATCGGAATTACGATTTGATAATTAAATTATCGTTATTTTGTTGATATTAAATATAAATCGCAATTCTGCATATATACGTGATACGTCTTAATAAAAAAATTCTAAAAATTCAGCATTTTTCATATTTTTAATTTATGATATTTTTTTTTAATATTTTAAACTTGTTATATTTTTCTTCGGAAATTATAGAATATTGTTAGACTATTTTAGAATTTATACATATAAAGAATTTTAAAAAAGAGATGAATATTTTTAAAAAATATTTTTCTCGTAAAACTATTCTAATTCGTATAAAAAATCTAAGAATTTTTCTACAAAATTATAATATTTATACAGAAATTTTGACAAATTATATTAAACATTTTTTAATCGTTTACTGGGATCAATAGATTTGTTCATTTTCTGAAATAAAATATTTTCAAGTTGTTAACAGAAAATAAAAAAAAAATAATGTTAAAAGATTTTTTAAAATAAAGGTTTCTTTAAACTCCAAAATATTATTCTCAAATGTTCGAATCTTAAAATTTTAAGATTTTGATACTTTGAGGATCCAAGCAAGCTTCTAAATTATCGTAAAAATTGGAGAAATTAACGAAGCTATACTTACAGCCATACGACCCTTATCCATCACCAAAACCTTGTCGCTGTCCATTATAGTATTCAGTCGATGTGCCACTGTGAGCATCGTACATGTTGCGAATTTTTTCCTAATAGTCCGTTGAATCAACGCGTCGGTATGTGGATCTACGTTCGCAGTTGCCTCGTCCAGCATCAATATACGATTGTTTCTCAGGATAGCTCTCGCTAAGCATACCAACTGTCTCTGTCCAACACTATAATTGCTTCCTCTGTCAAACACGCGACTTTCCAAGCCGTTTCCGATAGTAATAACCGCTTCTTTTAGCTCAACCTGAAATACGTTACAAACGGAATTATAAGATAGTATAAAAAGTTCATAATTATTTAATAATTATAGAACCATGTGACTTAAAGTTTAATGATAGTTCGTCATTTTGGGACTCAGAATTTTCCAATCTTTGGAATTTAGGATTTTAAGATGGTCTTTGGAGTTAAAATGTCGAAACCTTTGAGCGTTATGTTTCCAATTAAGCACAGATCTATTTTTAAATTAGGAATCATTCGAACCTCTTCAAGTGCCTCCCATAAATCCGTGTCGGGAAATTCATCGAAAGGATCTAAATTACGCCTCAGAGTACCTGAGAACAAAACGGGATCCTGAGGGATGATGGATATTTTGCGTCGCAAGTCCTCCAAAGCTATCGAACCCGTATCCACGCCGTCAATCTCGATGATTCCCTCCACTTTTGCCAATCGGAACAATGCTGATATCAGCGACGATTTTCCGGCGCCTGTTCTTCCCACGATACCAATCTGTATATATAATAATTTTATTATTTTTAAAACATCTAAATTATTTTTCACAAATATTTTCATATTAACGTGTGTAATTTTCCAACTTAGATCGTTAAAGTTTTAGTTACTCAATTATGTATTCGTATTTGCGGTCTTAAGACACTCTGTTTATATATAATTTGCTTTCTTTACATCATTCTGCATATGTGATAAAACTACTTCAAATAAATTAAAATAAAATTTAAAAAATGCTTTATTTTCTCTTTTAATCCTTTTTTATGTAATTTTTTAATAATTAATAAAAGTTATCTTAAAAAAAATCACAGCAACTTTTTCAAATATCTCTAGAAAGTCCTATAAAATTTAAGATTCTTCTATCTTTTAAAATAAAATTTTCCACTCTCCTTCTTCTCATTTGTTTCTATAAAATTTTTTGCGCAAAATTTCGATACCTTCTCTCCAGGATAAATCACTATATTCAAGCCCTTAAGGACGGGTGGATCTTCGTCAGCGTAACGCATATAGACATTCTTAAACTTGATGCAACCTTCGTCGGGCCAGGTTTTGGGGACACTGGACGGCAGCGCTAGATACTTGTCCTTTTTCTTCACATACGCTCCCCGGTCTCTTAGATTCGGTTCTGCCGAAAGCTGAATGTACTCGAGTACGCGTTCTACTGCCATCATCTGGTTTGCTACCTCCGCGCTTTGTCGCATCCCCCATTGAATCAATCCAGTCATTGCCATTACCTGTGTGATGGCCAAACCGACTTCGCCACCGGAAAATGCTGAAAGATATACCCAATATATATAACATCTCATTTCGTTGATTCAGTTTTTATACTATTAAAATATATATCTAATCTAAATATTTTTTCATTAATTAACAATGTTATTAACAAATTCTTATTTTAAAAAATTAATATTTTTACAAAATAAATATAATTTTTATAATAAATAAGTTTTCTTCAAATCTTGTAACAAGCTAAATTATTTAATAATGTAAATATTAATTTAAAAGTTTTTAGAAAGAATAATAATGTTTGAGTGTTTATCAAGTAAAATTCTTTCTAAATTTTCTTAATAAATTAGTACATTTTATATAAAGTATAATTTTTTTATACGGTTTAGATATATATTTTTTAATTTTTAAATATGAATTATTTAGTAATTCTAGTATTAATTTAGAAAATTTTTTTAAACTAATAATAATTCTATCTTAAATGAAACTTTTATATTGCAATTATTTATAATATATAATTCTTAATAAATTAATATATTTTTCATAAAAAATACATTAAAAAATATTTTGTATTATTTTTTATATTTATATTTAAAACTACTCGAAAAAAAATTGGGAGAAGTTCCTAGGAAAACTGATGCTTACATTGATCGAGTAACAAGAAGCTAAAAGTGATGAGTGAAGTGAAGATAAAACAGAACACGTCCAAAGCGAATCCAAATGCTGTGCTAGTGACGATATACATGTAAGAGGTAGATGTGTGTACATCTTGCAACTTGTCGAATTCACGTTTCAGTATGTCCTGAGCGCAATATGCTCTGATGGTCGTCAAACCATTCAACGTGGCGTTCAAATGAGTGAATACCGGCGAGCGTGCTGAAACACAAAAGAATCATGTCTTCAAGAAATACATCTTTATGTGAAATAAAAGCACCATACATTTGCTTTAATAAAAATAATAAAGAAACGGCTCTCAAATGACTAAAAATCAAATAATAAAAAGAAATGTTGTTATTTAATTTTCATATAATTAAGAAAGTCGTCAATGGGGATAGGTAAAAATATAATTGAGAAAATGAAATTTAAGAATAAATAAGCAAGAGAAGAAAATATCAAAAGTAAAAAATATACGAAAATAAAATAGATTTTTCATTTTAATAACATGTATATACATACAGGCACCTGAAGGTTTCCTCGCAAAAAAGGTAATAAATTCAAAAATTATATTGATGTCAAGCTTATATTGACATGGGCACTTTTAAATGCAAATTTATGTAAAATTGTTTCTTACACACTTCATATTTTTGCTATAACTTTTTAATCAAGCATTTTAGAATTTATATTTATATAACTTTTTTTTTTCTTATTTTAACTCACTTATTTTACCATATCGTTAAAGTTTGTTCGGAAAATTCCGTAACATCCTGTATATAACTAACATTTTGATAAATGTTGAGGATTAAAATAAAAAAGACGTAAGAAAGGCAGACATACCTATTCCCTCCAGTCGCTTAACGTTCTTGCTGGTCTTGAGATAAACCTTACGGATCCAATAAAATATCCCACCGATAATCACGACAGGTACCAAGAAGATAGGATTGACCACGCAGGTCATTATCAGCGATCCGAACATCAACATGTTCATCTGACCAGCATCCAGAATCGCTTTAGGTAATAATTCGTCGATCGCGCCCATGTCTTTGGAGAATCGATTCAGAATCCTGCCGCTTGGATTAGTATCAAAAAATCGCATTCCTGTACGAATTAACGCACTAAACATCATATCGTGTAGGCGCTGGCTGCACCTCATGCACGTCTTGTAAAAGACTAGCGATCTGGTGATCCCGATAAAGAAGATAGCTAGCACAATGCCAGTGTAGATGTAGATATAATTAATTACTGATTTATCCTCGATAGCACTGAGTTCATGTATGTTCGTCGTGTTTACGTAAACGTCTTCCGTTTGGTTCAGGATAAAGTGCTTGGCTTCGTAGTTTCGTGTTTCCATAAAATTGGCACTGGAGGTTTAATCGAGAAGAAAAATTATATCATTATATTGAACGATAAATGAAGTAACTAAAGTGGCAAAAAATATGATTCATACACTTTCGTTTCATATATTAAATATGCGAATATTTTTAGTTCTATATCTTTGAGCTTTTAGTTCTACATAAAAATTAATTCCAGAACCTGATAATTTTTAAAAGTTATTTTTCAAGTAAATTATTCAAGTAAAATATTCTTAAGAAATTTTACAATATGTATTATTGAATACATTTGCATGCAAATCTTTTTAAAATATTTTTGCAAATATTTTTCGACATGATCTGGCCAGCATAGAAATATTTTTAAAATATTTTCGTGAATTTTGTTTTTAAATATTTTAATCTACCTAAAAAATATATGTAATAAATAATTGTTTATATAGTAAACGATTCCTTCATCAATTAAACAGTTTTCCGGTAACACAAATACTCACAAGAAAGGCACAAAGTAGTCGTTGAGACTGACGATAAATTGCGTAATGATGAACAGAAACAGAACGGTAAGAGCAATGCACAAATTGGCACCAGTTTGGAAGAACTTGATAAATATAGGACCCTTAACCAGGCCACGTGATGTTCCCTCAAGACCGTCGTTCAATTTTTCAGGATCTTCGTCTTCCTCTTCGTCATCAGTGCCGCCGCTACTGGCTTCCGGAGTTCGACTCTATTGAAGAAATTTTATCTTCAGTAATATTAGTGTACATTTCTTTTTGTTATTCAGATATTGTTTATTACTATGAAGAATCAGTTATCAATTCCAATTTTTCTTTCCAGTTATCAATTCCAGTTTTTATATTGTTCCTTAAAAACAATATAAAAACAATATAAAAAAAATAAAAATTATATTTTGTCAAACCCCTCTCTCTCTCTCTTTTTCTCTCTCTTCTTCATAATTTTATACATATTTGCAGCACTTACTCTGTTACTCGAAGAAGAAAATTGTCGTCGTATATTTATGTTCTTTTCTAAAGATGAATCATCAATCGCTTCATTCTCTGCTGCCAGGAGTACTCCATATTCGGGTCGATACTCTAATAAATCCTGATAATGCGAAAAATACTTCATTTTTCCCTGCTCGAGCAATATAATAGCGTCCACTCCCTTTATATATTGCAGCTGATGCGTCGCCAAAATTCTTGTTTTTCCGGTAAGATATCTCTGAATGCATTCTTGAAACAGATGCTTGCTAACGTGTGCGTCAACCTGGAATTTCAAATAAAGTCTCTCATCAGAATTCATAATCAAAATCCTGCATCATCCTTAAACACACAATATTCCTAGAAAATGGTATGAATATTATTTACCTTTTATAATATTCATATAACATTCTAGGAACATTATGTCTTATACAGGAATTATTGTTCATCAAAGAAAAGAAAGATCCCGCACTAATTATACAGAAAATATAAAATTATTTGATTCCAATGAAATGTGTTGTTTTTCACATACAGTGAAAATAACGTAGTGATACAATACATTACGCCTGAAAGAGTAAATTATTCCTCTATTAACTCGTTTGATTTGATAATCACTCACCGCGCTCAAAGGATCGTCCAGTAAATAAATGTCCGACTGCCTGTACAGAGCTCTGGCCAAATTGATCCTAGCTTTTTGACCGCCGGACAGCGAAGTACCTCGTTCACCCACAACGGTTTGGTCACCCTGTGGGAACTGTTTGAAGTCACGTACCAAAGCACAAGCCTTGATCACCTTCTGGTACCGTTGGCGCTCGTAGGACTGTCCGAAGAGTATGTTCTGTCGGACAGTAGCACCGAAAACCCAGGCCTCCTGACTGGCGTAGCTGACGCCGCCGTTGACCTTCACTTGACCTTCCGTCAGACTGATCTCTCCGAGAATCGCGGACAGGAAGGAGCTCTTGCCGCTACCTACCATGCCGATCACCGCGTACAGCTTGCCCTTTTCTATTTCCAGATTCAGATTCTCCAGAGTGTTCTCCGATTGTCTCTCCTCCCACTTGGCAGTAACGTTGATCATATTGATGGCCCAGTTGTTCATATTGTATATGGATTGTTTGTTTTCTAAATAGTAATAGTTTCATTTCAAGTTAGACTGTTTAAGAATATGTTAAAAGAGTGCTGGAAATATTCGAGCAATACAATATGTCTCATAAAATTAAACAAAAATTTTAGAAAATACATATCTCCAGAAAGATCTTTAAAAGATTATCGTAAAAATTTGTAACTTTATTTATCTTAAAAATATTATTTTATTAAAACAAATAGTTCCATTTTTTTTAGCTTCTAAAGTATGTCAGATTTGAAATATACTTTGAATATTTTTATATAATATCATTTATATATATTTGTATAAAGTATAAATTATATGCTTTTCTGAAATTCTTTACCTCCAACAAAATTAACAGTGTTTTTCAACAAATCGCTGGCAACAATCAATAGACCATTTTGCTTTCTGCGGTCGTTGTTCTCGTTCAGACCCTCTCCACGTGAATCCACATCATCGTCGTCAATGTAGGGCAGATCCGGTTTGGAGAACCGCTTGAGATCTGAATTGGCGTAGCTGGCAGACGCTTTGGAGACATCAACGTTGCTACCCTGGAACTCGTCGAACATAAGGAAACTCTGGAGCCTACGTATAGCCACCATACACTCAGCCAGCTCAGCGAAGCCGCGCACGAACATGCCAGTCATAGTGTGTGCAAGAATGTTGAAATAGGACGAAACGACGAAGACTTTATCGGCAGTTAGATTGTCGCCGAACATCAGCATGGCGATGAGGGTGCAGTAGAGTGCCATACGAGTTGTGAAGAGATTGAAGGTCATATAAATGCCGCGGATATACGAGCTCTTGGTAACCACTCGAAGTTCGAGCTTACGCGCCAGCGCCACCATAGCGCAGAATGGCTTCTCCCACGCGTACATCTTGATCACCTGCACCCCGGAAATGATTTCATCCATCAACCGGACCCGCTCGTCAGTCTTAATGGCAGTCTGGAGACGAAACTTTGACGACAGCTTGCCAGTGTAAGCTAAAATCCCAAGAGTAAGAATTGGTGAACACCTGCGACAAAATAGCTTGCAAAATGACATAAAAAGTCTACCCGGGTTTACAATGCAATATTTTACATTTATTTTCCATAAATTAAAAAAAATTGAGTTTTAAAGGTTCTTCGAATCGACGATCGTATTTAATTTATGAGATTATTATTATTCAGTTTGATTGTGTTTCAAGTTCGAAAATAATCGGCACGCAGTCATCTGAAGTAAGATGTATTTGAAATTAAATTACGTATAGAATTATTTCTCCTTCTAACTTTGATCATAATTGGCGCTGCTTCTTACTTAGTGATGATTTAAGAATAGAGCTTTTATTTAAATTTATTGATAGTGACGCGAAACTCACATTGAATTGGTACGACCACAAAGACTGCGGCGATGCCGATGAGGCCAGCATAGCCGACCTGCTGATAGAGAATATAAGCCACGATCAGGGCGGAGAGAGGTGCCGACCACATATGATGAATAAAGATGGAGACGAGATCGAATCGATTGACATCATTGGCCACTAGATTAACTACTTTTCCGGGTGCTGTCTCGCCCAGTGCAGTTTTGCTCAGACGCAGAGCCTGCGAAACAAAAGAAGAATATCCGTTACATAATCTGGAAATCAATATGCTGATAAATTATATCGCGTAAGAAATTTAATATACTCGATATATTCAAATATTTATATCAATAGGGAATATTTATAAATATTTTGTATTGTAATATTTATAAAATATTTTCAAAAAATATTTTATAGAAGAAAGATTAAAATGCTTTAAAATAATTGACGAAAATCTTTTTAGAATGTTTCTATATCCACCAGATTATGTTTTTTTTTATAAATATACTGATTTGATAACAGAACTTTATGAACAAATTTTTTGTTACATTGTATGTCAAAATTGGTCATATTGTTTAGTCTTTTAAAAGATTCAAAGAATTTTTTATTAGGAAATTTAAAGAATTTAAAAAAACTGATTTATTTAGTCTTTTGTCGTACAGTTATTTCATTTCTTCTCCTCTTTCTCATGTGGTGAAGAAACGTTTACTCTGAAGAGCTGAACAAAAACGTTCAAAGCAAGACTTACAGAGCTCTTCTTACACGACTTTTGCGTTCACTTTTTGTTTCCTCTCACTTTATACATTACACTTTCAAATTTTTTCAATTATATTGTTCCGAGTGACCAACCTTTCTGTACACCACCGAACATACGGCCACGCGAACCTTGCCACCCACGTGGAAAGCGCCAAAGATCGTCTGATTGCCGCTTATCACGTTCATGCCGGTGGCGATACAGATACCAGCTCCAAACCACAAGGCATTTTCGTATGGTTCAACTGAATCCTTCCGGAAATAGCGTAAAAGACCACCCAACAATAATGGCGTACCTAACCTACGGAACGAGTTTCGCACATTAATACTTCATGTGTCAATATTCAATATTTGGGTATTATTATCCTAAATTTCATATCTTAAATAATAATTATAATATCCAATAATTATATTATTATACATGAGCGTAGCCAGGAAAGGACAAATGGACCATGGCTCCCCCACCAAATCTTAAAGAAGGAAGAAGGACAAAGATAATTACAAAAAAATTATTACATATACGAGGACTATGCTTAAGTATTTATAAGAAATTAATTTTGAAAGAAAGAATTGGAGATCAATGTTATAGAAAGATTTTTTAATAATCCAAGATGACTAATGTTATTATAAATTTAAGTTCTTTAGTTTGAAGAATCAGTTATTTACAATTTTTAAAAATACAGTAAGTAAATTAAATATATATAATTCATTTGCTAGTAAATAATTAAAATAATTAAAATAGTAATATAAAACAAAACAAGTCCAACAGTTTATAATCTATATCATTCGACTATTCTCCCCCGTCTTCTAGGATTTAAAAGTCTCTCAACTCTAATTTAGTCTTCTTCTCTAAACACATTCCTGGTCACATCCGTGTTATATTATTATTATATTAGTTATATTTTTATACTATTATATTACCTGTTCTGTTATATTATTACTATATTGTTATTTCTATTTTTATTATTATCAATTATTTATCACATATACAGTATATTTATATGTTTATAGTATATTATTACATGCTTATGCAAGAACAACAACAGTTATTCTTAACGTTTTAAATATCTTCCTTTAAATGCGTTTCTACTTTGTTTGAAATGTTATCGCTCCACGTAATATGTTTGCAAGTGATAATACGTCGGAAACAATGTCCTATGTTTTTAGTCAAACGCAAATATAAAAAAATATTTAAAAAAAATTTTTTGGATTATTTTCAATACAAAACATTATTATTTCTTACATAAAAAAATTAAAGTTTAAAACATTGAGCTATTCAATTTATCTTGAAAATTAGCTTCAATTACAAATTGAAAAATCAATACTTTACCGCAATAATAAATTCGTATTACTGCAATAAAGTCAACGTTATTATCGGCCAAATAAAGAGAAAAACTTCCTACGAAAAAAAAATGTAGCACGAAAAATTTATAAAAATGAGCGATAGCGGTCAGTGTTTAATCTTACCTTATCACGAATTCGTTGAGAATCTGTATTATTCCCAGCATAGTGTACTCCCACAAGAATGTGCGGAAAATAGTTTTTAACAAACTCGGACTGCGTTTCCATTTTTTCGAATTTTCCAGCTCGATGTTCCATCGTCTGCAAGTACGCCAATGCATTAATAATAATAATTCCTATGCTTTTATAAAAGAGCAACGCAAAAGAAAGAGAATTAATATAAAATTGATAACAGAATTAACTCTGTAAACATTTTCTTTCTTTCTTCTTCTTCTTCTTCCCATCTTTTCTTATAGATTATTTCTATACTTACTTTTCTAATCGATCTCCGAGACACGTCGATCTGTCGACTTTCAGAGGATCAAACAAGTCTTCTATTTCTAAAGTTTTCTTGTATCCTGTCTTGAATAAAGTAATGGTCCACCTGATTCATCGTAATTTGTGTAAATTAGATATCAGATATCTTACTGCTATCAAGTACCTCTAGATTATATTATAGGGTGACATAACGATAAAACTATGACAGAGTCGAAACGGAACTAAGGGATTAAAAATAGCATAATTATTTTATGGTATGACAGTGCACTTTTGTTATGTTAGTTTCACAAGATGCAATGTCACGTTGCAGACAAGGTAAATTTGCGTGAAGATAAGAAGTAATTTGAGATAAAAAAATCAACCTTGAAGTAAAAATCACCCGTTACTTCAATTTTACTGTTTTGTATTTAAATAGTTATTAATGCAATAATTGTGATTCAGATATTGAATATGAATTGAAAAGTTGAAATAATATGTTAAATATAAAAACTTTAAATACTAGAATATTTACAGATGCTTAAATATTTATTCAAATCGCTAAACTTTTAAATATAGTATATTGTATAACTTCGAGTGCATGCGAAAGATTGAAGTAAGATAATACAGAATAACAGAAGTAATTGTGATCAATTGCGAGCCTGCGCTTTAGTTAACTGTTTTGATGTCTAATGTCCACGATACGTATAAAAACGCAAGGCAATAAGACGTAAGCAATAAGTGAATCGGCCAATCACAGTAAAGAACGTAAGGTTATTGCGTTTTTTTATGTGTTTCTGGCGTAATCTACGCAGAAAGAACGATTTTGTTGAAATTATCTACAAATTTAAATAGAAACAATTCTGAAAATAATGTCGTTCGATCATCAAATAATCACGTAAAAATCTTAAGTATGATGAGCAATGCTGCAAAATATTTTGACATTCTAACAACATACTGCATAATTATTTTGATAAAACAAAATTATTTTCAGATTTGTATCTACTCAATTTTTAAATGTTTCATCAAAAGTTCTTTTCATACAGCTATGGCTATCCGTAAATCTAAGGATTTGAAACAAATCTTTGGATATTCAATTACGCAACGTTCGAGTATCCAAGACTTAAGACTGCCAAGAAAGACACCAAGTAAAGAAAAAGTCAAAATGATAATTTTTTGTTACAAAATTTGACTATTTATTGACTTTAAGCATCAAAATAAGTCATCTTGACATTTTCTTGATTATTGTGTGTTCCTTGGGCTCCTCCATATTCCATGGAAGACAAAGGAGAATCTCGGAAGAAAGCATGATGACCTAGAAAAATTGCGCAACTCACCACCAAAGTAACACCGACACGATGCTCGCCTTCTCCCTCGGATTCGGCTTCGATTTGATTTTCGTTGAATCCATCGGTCCTTACACGCGGCATTAACTTGCCGCGAGCTGCCACTTCCACGGTTGAAAACGATTGATTAATTTATTCAAGTTAGATCAACGATTATTAACACTTCAAGGCTTTCGTTTGCTATTGAATAATGACTCTTTTTTTCACAAACAAACGAAAGAATTTCTTCACTATTTTAAGAATCTTATAAGATCCTCTCTTTGATTATATCATAAGAGATTATCGACAATATGAATCTCCTCTCTTAATCCTCATATTGCCATCCATCCAGTATAATTAACAATCTCTTCACGCGATCGTAATCAGAATGAAATAAACACTTCACATATCTCGTTGTATCAGCAATTTGCAAATATCACTATTTCCCACGATTGATCACTAGACTTAAATCTTATCACAAATTCTCAATAAAGTCTTTTTATAGACAGGAAAGATATCAGTCATCGATACTTGTGTAAACATCTTCCGCTTCTTGAGATCTATTTTCAAGTGCCTCCTTGTAGTTTTCAAGATGTCCGTGAATCTAGAAATTGTTATAAGTAATTATTATTATCTGTTACAGACATCAGTTACATGATTGTAATTAGAAATATTAGAATCATCATTATTAGAGAAAAGTCACCGATATCTACCGACATAAGTCTCTTAAAAAAAACACTTCCCTATTTCTTGGAAACTAACTATTGCGTTTCAATAATAATGATAAAAAATGATCTGTTAAGATGACTAAAGAGAATAAAAACTCATAATTCATGAATTTGTGACTCGTTATTTCTATACAAAAACAGTTAAAAACGAATTCTACAAATAAAATTAAAATTTGTACGATTTTCTTTCGCAAATCGTATAATTTAAATAATAGTAGCTATATTATTGATAATATCACATCCATATTAATAATAGTGGCTATATTATTGATAATATTATAGTTTTATATATTTGTAGTTTCATAAATCAATTTTATTAATATTTTTTTTTATTTTTTTATAATACGATTTGAAATAAAAAATTGATGCGTGGCATAAATCAGAACATTTGTCTGTGACCATATAAGCTAGAACAGACCATATAAGCTACTTAATCTTTGTAGTATTACGTAATATTGGAGCTAAAGACAATCGTATTTATGAGAATACTCTTAAGAAAGAAACTCTCGCGTTACATGTTTGCATCTTCAAAAACAAGACAAAGTAAGTATGCATTATTTTAAACAAAAAACGTTTTATCGAAGTGAACAGTTTCTAAAAAGTCATATATACATTCATCTGTAAATATCTTACATAGATGATTTGTATAAAAAAAAAGAATGGAAAAATGTGACATCGCTGTCTACTGCGTCAGTTTTGAGGCCTGTTGACAAGTACTCGTTTTTACTTATCTTACGAAAAAGTTAATTATTGCACAATTGAAAGCAACATTGTATAAACTCTGTAATATCTAATTGAAAAAATTTCCTAGTTTGTATTATTATCTTATTTATCTTATTTAAGAAATATTGTCCACTCACACAAAACAAAATAATATATTGATATCGGTGACCTCCCTCTATTTAATGTTACAATTAATCATTATTATTACATAATTATACAATATTATTAACAATAATCAGTTTTATTATTTATAATAAGAAAATAAATGTTAATAACGACTAATAATCATTATTTTTTATTAATAATAATTACTTTTATCATTGAATAATAATTATTTTGCATCTAAATAATAATGCTCAAGTAACAATTTGTTTCCGTTGATTTTTTTACTATTACTTTGAAGATAAGTTTTTATAACTTTGAAGAGATAATTACGACTTACTGAGTATTTTTCTTCCTTTACCAGTAAAAAATGGTCTTTTTGCAATTCCGTCTGTTGTTACCGTAGTAGATAAAAAAACGTGTGCGCATTGATAATTGACAAGGTCCGCTTTAATGAAACGAGGACGATTAACTTGTCGATCCAGGACCCATATGACTCTTCGGGTACGTGTTTGGTATCTGCGTTTGAAAAGAGAGTCTGTATCATTCGTGCCTCCACCGTCCCCGCCTTATCTGGCTACACGCAATTTATTTGCCTGCTGTGTCACTTTCCCAATAACACAGAAGGTCGTACAATCTCAACGTTATGCTATAATTATCTAACATAATCACGAAGTTGATACGCTAGTCATTAATTAGCCGCCAACCGTATGTCTTTTTGTTTGTAAATTACACATAAGATTGAAGAAATAGGAACTAAAATTAAGTTACTAAAAATTCAAAATTAAAAGAGATTCAAAATTAGAATAAAAAATAAGGATTTGGATATTGGCGACAGAAAATATTAAAGTAAAAAGTTCTTTGGAGAGAAAAAGAGAGAAAAACAAATATTGAGAAATTTCAATATCAAAGTCAATATCCTATATCATTCCGATATCCACAATCAAAATTCTAAAAAATATTTGAAAGGTTGATTAGATTATTAGAAAATTAAATTTAAGAAATAATATAGCATCTGTAGGAAATAATATTCCCTCTCTCTCTCTCTCTCTCTCTCTCTCTCTCTCTCTCTCTTCTACATATATATATATATATATAT